ACTTGATAAACCCTTGCCCCGCCATGCCTCCGGAGCGATGACGTCGTGAACCTTTCCTCCCAGCGTTGCCTGTCTACTCAACTGCACGAAGACCCTACCACAAAGACACTGCTTCAGCACCTCAAAGCAATGCGGGCTCGGCCTGTGCTGGACGAGATGGTAGGCAAACGGAGTAGCACGAGTGCCTTGGAGTTGTGAGGTTCCAGCCTCTTTCAGGCTGGTTTAGGCTCTCTACACTTACGTCTTCTCGGCTGTGCTTGGAACGGACACATGTCTGTTTGTCACACCAAGTCCCGCACGTCAAGTGGAACTCGCCATAGTCACACATTATTTGCACATCGCCTTGGCAAACACAGCATCCAGGGTCGCAAGCTACAGAAGCACGTAAAAATCAAACCTACAGACATGTCTGCTACCGCTGCTCTTTGCTCGTACGTTGCACACGAATAGCGGTTGAATAGCAGGTACGCACATCTACCGTGTGTGTATATACATAAATAAATAAATAAATAAATATATATATATATATACATACACATGTGTGTGCACACACATGTTTGCTGATTGACTTCTGCCCACCAAATATCAGCGACCGCAGTCTCACCGCAAACCAGCATGAGCACATTATGTGGTTTCGATACTTGCAGCTACACCAGGGAAACTTGACAATCGTCTAAGCATTTGGGAGCATGCCTACAACAGAAACAAACATACAACAACACATACGTAAAAATAAATACATATATATATATGTATATGTATAAATAGATATAAATATAAATATAAATATATATATATATATATTTTATATGTAGACACACACACACATATATACACACATGTAAATACATGTGTGTGTATATATATATATAGAGAGAGAGATAGACAGAGAGAGAGAGAGAGAGAGAGAGGGGGCGAGAGAGAGACCTACACCTACGCTACCTACACCCATACATAGACGTACCATGTGTGTATGTGCATATATGTGTTTCTAATATCTACACATATGCATAAAGTATAGTATACTGCATATTTACATATGTACGCGTGTACTTATCTTCTTCTGCTGTGTCTACATTCTACATGTCATGCACACGCTGTCTAGTACCCGGCTAGACATGTCAGATTACCGATGTGCTCCGTTTCAGCAGGTTGTAACCTGACCCGCATCACGACACACCACAACCATGCTTCAGGCAACAATAAAGCCGCACAGTGCCTGTGGTCAAATCCATCCAACCACCCTCAAGCTCTGTGCCAAGGCCGCAGCGTCCCCAACCCCAACAGCCTCGTATCCCGCTACCCCTACACCCGAGACCCACCAACTTTTCTGAGACGTTGGGCGGCGGACCTCGAAGGACCTGCATGATCACTGCGCGATCGTGGCTGCTTGGATTAGAGATATTCACCAAGGGGAGATGGCTCAGTAGGAGTCGAGTCTAGCAGTAGCAGTCGAAAGAACTTCCCCACCAAAGGCAGTTGCCTCACTGACGTTTTCGCAAGTGACGTTGATGGCTTGCATGTGAGCCATGTCGGAAGACCTGCTCTGGCGGACATGGCCCACTAGCAGACATGCACGACAGAACACAGCACATCTATCCGCCTGCCTTGCGTAAGCATCACTCGGGCTTGTTCATGCAGGAAACCCGCAGACATCTGCTGGTGAAATCGTGAGACATCATCGTAGCAGAGCATGACGCTCCATGCGGGGGTAAAATCCTGACCTGCTCACCCTTGTGGCAAAGTTCAGTATGTTCAGTGTAAGTAGAAGTCCAAGAGCCAGGCAGAACGGATCCGTTCATGTACTGGGACTGCACGAGCAGCGCTTCGCCTGACAGATGAGAGAAGTTGCCCTCAAAGACTACTGCAGGGTGTGTGAACTCAGGCCTCGGATCCGCACTTAAGACTTGCATTGAATCCTAGATCTCAGGATCATCGGCCCTCTTCAGCACTGCACCTCGACAGCTGCAAGAAGTACTGCAATGAAAGTTTCATGAGCGATGATGCTTGGAATAGGTATGCCGGAAACTTCAAGCCCTCAGTCAGTCTCAACTTGTATCCCAGGGCAACAAGCAGGCAAGGAGAGGAGAGAGAGACAGAGAGAGAGAGAGAGAGGCAGGCAGGCAGGCAGAGCCACACACACAAACACTCGTGCACCCACACATGCACACAAACAAACAAACAAGCAAACACACACACACACACGCACACACTCATCCGCGCGAGAGAGAGAGAGAGGGAGAGAGAGAGAGAGAAAGAGAGAGAGAGAGAGAGAGAGAGAGAGAGAGAGAAAGACTGAGAGAGAGAGGGAGAGTGGGAGAGGCACTTGACCTTGAAAACCCATATGGTCAGCACTACCCTGCTTGTCATTGGATGCACTGGCCTCCCACGCAAGAACGTGGCTCACAGCCGCTCTCCACGCCTGCTGCGTTGTGTCTGCGCCAGTTCAGGGTGTTAAGCTCTCGGGGGCAGTTCCATTTTTTTGCAGTTCAGCCAGGCATTATGTGACCAAGGCCCTATCACCCGCATCGGAGCTTCCAAAACACTTTGTCTCCACCGATCCCAAACCATCGACACAAATCATCTGAGTGCTGAGAGCCGCGCTGGCATAGCTTCCACGTCGCCCACAGGTCACGGTGATCTCCCCGACCTCAGCAGAGAAAGAACTCCTTCAGGTTCGAGCCAATGGTTTACATCATAGGACTGAGAGGGTGTGTTGCCGTGAGTGTACAGATACAAGTTGTAGCAGCATCTGGGCTGGATGGGAGATCATGCTCGGACGCTCCGAGTTCCCAAACACAACTGGCTCAAAGTACCGCCACAACCACATGGCACGATAACTACGCGACGCGGGCTAGAAGCATCTTGACTTACTTGTGCAGGCACAGGCAGCACGGGAGGTGGTACTACGAGCACGATCATCAGCATCATCAGCACCACATGCAGATATGACACTACCGTTGCCAGTGTTGCGTTAGCATGTTTGTATGTCAGATGCTCCTACAGTACCATACGACGGATCCACGGACAAAGCCCTCACGACGTAATCCTGCACCGCTTTTCTTCATCTTTGTCTTCTGCTTCGATGCCAATTTTCTGCAGTCGCCTTCAGGGCTTGAACTCCACCTCCCCGGCTCACTCCACCCTCCTCGAAAACACCATGAGAGAAACGGCCGGGCGCCCTGCATACTTCCGCTGCGTCTGCGAGCCGCAGTCCTTAAGAGCTCGAGGTGGAAGCTCTAGTGAAACTATTGCGACAGTCTTACTTGCGTTCTTGCTCTGAGCCGTCGTTCTCGCACTCTTCTCCTTCCTTCTTTCTGGTTTGTAGCAGCTCGGGGAGGTCCGGGAGTCGAGTACTAGCATGGCTGCCCTTGCGAGGAACCCTCCAAGCTACGAAATGCTACGAAGTTACTCAAAGGAAGCTGCCTGCCTTTAGGAACTCACCTCCTCAGCCTGCTGCGACTTGGAAGGTCTCGTCCTTGGACACACCCACATCCGGGAGCAGATCCTGAGCATGGGCACATTGCGCTTCAGTGACTCCTTCATGTTGCACATCTCGTGCAGGGAGCGATTGAGGCAGGAGCATCTCCCTGACTCTACCAAGTCCAAACACACAACCCCTGGGAAGTTGGGACAAGTGCTGCTGCAACTACCAGAAGTAAGACCGGCAACACCAGTCAATAAGTTACTAACTGAAGCCGGTCAGGGAGGTACGAGGAGCTCCAGCTTGATGGAATGAGAAGGGTGCAGGGAGCCGGTGGATCTCCAACGACCCTTCGGACACAGCTTGAATGCGCGGCTTCGCAGCAGCATGAACGCATGTTTTGAATTATCAAGAAAAAACTAAATGTTCAAGATCTTTTGAAGATCAATGCTTCCATCTGGAACTTGTCCGCCAAAGCTGCGAGGAAGGACGTGCGATGTGCAAAAAACATCTAAGCCGCACGCCACAGTGTAATTGCCCACGGTCAGGTTGCCCCCAGGGCCTTGACAAGTGCCGTGGCTCGCGGAAGCGAGCACCGGAGCAACTCAGGAGGCCCCTTTTAGACTGAGCTGCTACTAACGGGAAGCATCATATTATGGTATAGTATATTATAGTATAGTATAATATATAGTATAATATAGTATATTATATTATTGTATCTACAGGATACTTGCAAGCACCAGAAATTGTCCGAGCTCAGGCATGGAAGGGATCATAACAAAAAGTGTAAACCCATGGGAGGCCTGATGGCTGGCATCCAAGTTCCACCAGGATGCAGCTGCTGTTGTCGGCGCCTCGCCACGCCCCAGTACCCCACGCAATGGCCCCAGAGCTTCAGCTTCTGGCCATTCCTGCTTGGGTTACCTATAGGGTTTAGACGCTATCTAACCCCTAGTCTAGAGTCTAAAGCCTAAAGTCGAATTTTATGTAGCAAATCTTTCCGCGATGTTGGCTTTGGAGGCAGCTGCATGGGCCATTCTGAGCAGCAAGCGCACGTGGCCGCGGTAGCAGCTCCTGACAGTCGGAAGGTCAGGCATTTAGCCGACAGGCGCAACAAACGTCGTCTCGGTAGCCGAGTTGCATCTGCATGTCGCCAATGTAGTCCCAGTTAATGGGCTCGCATGGCACCTCAACCCAACATCAATTTAGGCCAAATGCTGCAGGTGCAGTGTCTGTTTTTTCGGGCGGCGGAGCGCTCTTTCCTGCCACAACATGGAAACATTCGCTCTGACTTTGAAGATGTCCGGAACCCTCAGCAAGGCTGTAGGTCTCCAGCCGTCCAGGTCGCGCCGTGCAGGACCTGAGAAGGGATGTTTCCCCCAACCCCAGGGGTGTCAGGGCAGAGATCTTCGCCAACTTGCCATGGAGAGCATCAGACGAAATGTCACGTTTCAACTCAAGGGATGAGCTCTCATATCCAAATATGAAGGAGAAGACCCTGCACTTCATACGCTGAGACACGAAGAGACGGAGACTGAACCTTGCCAGTCGTTGATCACCACCAGCACAGCGGGCACTACGAGCGAAACTTACTTAACACCATACTATACTGTACTCTACCATACTGCGAGTCCCTGCATCCCACGCCGCGCTCTTCGCGCATGGCTCTGGGGGCCCCCGCCCCAGGGGAGTGCTGCTGGGAGGTCGTCCCACCCAGCTCAGCCTGGAACCCGGGGACCCAGTGGCTTGCAGGGGGCTTCGAAGTTTTAAGGCTGGGACCTAGCGGACAAAAGCATTCTCGCTACGGCACCAGTCCGTTAATCCTTGCACTCTTGGCGCTGCGGTGTTGTTCCACGGGACTCCACATCCAAGCCGCAAATGGACCAGGCCTCGACGTAAGAGCTGCTGGTGCAAGGGTTCTCGACGCCTGAGCCGCTCTCTCGCTGGCAGGGATGAAACAGCACGTGGGTTTCGTTTGAGTTTTGTTCTATTCTCCTGGTTGTCGTCCAAAATGTGTCCGCAAGAAACTCTAAGGCCGAAACAGGTCGATGTGGCCCCGGTGATGTTGCCGAAAGCGCATGTTGCCTTCGAGCGCTCAGCTTCGGAAGCACTCTCTCGATTTCCATAGTCAAGATCCTGAAAGCTTGCGCTCGAAGACCCCGCTGGCTGGCATGCAGCATCGAAACATGCAAAATCCAAGCAGCAGCTTGCACCACGCTTGCTGATCACACTTTGCATCATCATCATCATCATCACCATCATTAGCAGCATCATCATCTTCTTCTTCATTATGACCATGACGCAGCTGCAGCGACCCCACGAAGCTGAAACTACATGAACATAATGCTAAATGTGGTGCTTTTGACTTCGCAAAGGTGGATGTGCATGCAATCGTAGTAGCGCATATGTGAACAGCCATGTGTACAATATCAATATCAATATCTATATATATATATATTATATATATATACATATGT